CGCATGCAAAGCCTGTCGTCTACAATACCACCTGTACTCTTCCGTATACAACATGGTTCCTTAACAGTTTTGTGGTATAGTAGAAATCTTCCAGAAACACGAGCTTTTGCTCCTATTGGCAACACTGCCATCCATGTAAAGTTTTCTACAAAGGTTTCTCGTTCTGTGGTATGCGCGGAGTGCCTCAGTCCTGCTGATAAATGATGAAAGACACTGAGGGATTAGACCTTGAGCAGGCAACAGGAGGGAGATGCAATACGCAATCTCCTTCTTCATCACCTCCAGTGTTCTCAGCACAGCCTGCCTTGTGATTTTTTTCCCAAGTAGATTATCTTCTGCTTTACTATATTAAACCACTTAATAAAACACCAGAGAGGCTGTGAATAGGAACTGACTACATGTTCGCTACTTCAGTGTCTAGACAATGGTTTTGACCAAACCAATCTCTTGCTGATAAGAACACGTGCAACCAAGAACAAAACTAAATCTACTTCCAGTTATTTCTGTGGAAGGCAGAGATGGTCTAAATTTCTGATAGGTGCTGTGCAGCCTGTGAGACGTGGTGCTTGCTAAAAGAAAAGTATTAAGCAGTACGATTTCAAAGCTGTTTTTTATTTGTTTCTATTTGTTCAATATTTTCAAGGCTAACACATGGAGAAAAGAAGAAGTGACTGATAACAGATGATTCTGAAATGTTGGCTTTGGTAGCATGAAGTGAAAATGCAAATGCATTATTGAATGACCAGAGCAAACAGAAGGCTTGGTCCCCCCCACCCCATCCTGAAATATAAACAGGAACTTTGTTCAGAAAATGGCATTACCTTTATTCAGCACAGCCTAGTTACTAGCTTAAATATGCAGCACATTTTCAGCACACCTAACTTACAGCAACTTCTCCCACGAGCCTAAGGGTACATTAAAGGGTGCTAGCAAGAGTGATTATAAAGCACCTACTAGATCAAGGAGATTCTGCTGCAATATTTTAATTTTCATTTAAGTTATAATTCACACCACTCTGCTAACAAAAGGGGAAAAGGGCACTGTCAACGTAGCAGCCGGCATACACATCTTCATTTATTCTTCCCTAGTTTTAACTTGTGGTTAAACTTTATAGACTTCCAAGTGCAAGTAGATTAAAGCTCCATCTAGTGCCAGGGTCTTGGAACTTACAGAAAGATTTGCAGTCCAAAAATAGCAAACATGCTCCCAAACCGTCAAGCAGCAGCAAGCCTAGCATCTCAAAGCTGTAACACACAGACGACGAGAAGTCTGCGGGCATTCCTCTTGCAGTGTATAAGGGTTTCCTTTTAAAGCTGCTGTATCTGGGACCAAACAGAGAACATGGCACTACCCGGGCAGGGACGGAGTGCTCGAAACCCACATCTGCAACAGCAAGCGGAGTGCCAGCTGTGGAGCCACGCGTGTGCCCAGCACCGCTCTCCTCGGCAGTGCCCTGCGACCATTGCCGCAGTCTTCTGCACTACTGGTCCTGTTGGGATGCAGGGAGGCACGCTCCTCCCAACAGCCACGCGCCGGCAGCTGGGGCACTCTCAGCAGAAGCAGAAAATCCGCAACTTCTCAGGAAAAGAAGGGATTTGAGTCCCGGGCTACCCATTTCTTGCCAAGTGCTCCCAAAGGTTTGGGTGGAAAGGGTGATGGCACTGCCCCCAGAACCAGATCCCCTTCATTTGGCAGGGGGAAGCCAGCGCTCGTCAGCCATTCCCGAAGAGCAGTCTCCAGGTCACGCTCTCCAAGAAACGGAGCCGGAGGAGAGCTGCCTCGGGCTGCGGGGTGGGCACCCTGCGGTGCTCTGCCACAGCCGCCCCTGCAGCCCCAAGAGCCGGGTCCCGTCACCTAGGGATCAGTCGGGAACAAAGCAGGTTTCAGCACGAGTTCAGGACTGAAACCTTGGATTTAAGCACTTGAATTCCATTTTCTGGATCTATGCCCCGGCTACATTCTCCTTTCTTTCAGCGGAAAAACTTTACAACACCAGCTGCCATCCCCGAAGCAGTGTGTAAATAAGATCGCTGTTTTAATTCTGGAAAGGAGCTTACTGTAGCAGAATTTAATAGCATTTACACTGTGGCAAAAAAAGGTATTCCTGATCAATACTGAAAATACTTCCAAAGTGGATTAACTATATTTTAATTACTTTTTTAAAACTACCTGGGACATTCATTTATTTATTTATGTTTACCCCCTTCAGAAAAACACCTTAGAACGACCTGGAAATCAATCAATCGATCAATGTTTTTTCACACAGTTCAGAAGATGTTTGCACACCCCAGGCTGCTACCCTGCAAGGACAGAGCACGGGGGAGAGCTGTTGGGGAGGGAAGGAGAGACGAGGGAACTGCAGCAGAGACAGCAGAACTGCTCGACTGGTCTTTGCTGAACCCAGAGCACTTTTCTGCATGCTGTAAGGTGACCACGGTTATACTGCAGTTACAAACTTCACTGCTTTCGTGGTACTTCTTTCCCTGTTACAGCACATAGTTTCTAAAACGGCAAAGATAAAAACAAAAAATATTTAGTTATTTAAAATAAAAACAACCCTTTTTTTTTCTCATAAAGCCAGTTACAACGCCTTAAGCATGGAGAGCGAAGTGCAATCTTTTTTTTTGCCACAAACTACTCTTGAAAAAAATAATTGTTGGAACTACAGAAAAACGTGTAAACCAAAAGGAGAAAGAACTGTGTCCGACAGACAGGTGTCACAAAGGGATGAAGGGGAAAAGTATATCTGGCACCGAGGAGAAGTGCCGTCCCCTCTGCTGCAGCCACTGTTTGGCGGATGAGCGTCCCCAGGTCCATGCCAACAGCAAGTTTTGAGAAACAAATGCACTTTGGCCTAAGTGCTGTCTCCAAGCCATCCTATTTCAGCACAAGAGTTCAGTTTCCTTCCAGTCACAGAACACGTATTCCAATTCACTCAACCAACGCGCATCTCAAACCAGGTTAGCGGTGGTTTTGAAAGGCTGACGCCCTCGCTGTTTAATACGCAGCCTGACCACCTGCAGCAGCTTACCCTCATCTTCTCCACACACATCTATGAACGACAACACAAGAAGATGGGTGTCTATTAAAACAAACACGCAAAAAAGTCTAGCTAGTGCCAACATTCCCTTCCTCTGCTTTTCTGCACTTTTTGGCAATGGCAAACACTAAAACCACACCTGTTTCTCGCTCTGTCACCAAAACCATGCTGTATGTCACAACTGCCTTGTGCATGCTGTTCTGACTAATAATGAGGACAAGGTTTGCATAGCCAGGGACAGTTATTCTGGTTGTTCAGCCCACGCAGTAACATGTTAGGGTGTTGACATATGACATATATATATATTTATATACAGAAGTCACGTATTTTCATTGAAGAAAAGCAGCCCTCATTCTGCATTTTACATTTAGGTTTCAAAGAAAACTGAACTAGGAGGAATCCTTTCACTCTTCTAGATAAATGTAATACACCCGAGCTACAAAGCTTTAAAAAGCACTTCGCCAAGTTGTTGTTTATCCTCACCCAGAGCACAGCCAAGCTGTATTAGCTGCATCTTTCCCTTGTACGTCTCCAAACCACCTAAGCACGCACCAGGAAATACAGAGTCAGCATCACATACGACCAGAACGCAGGTGTGCGCAGCCGTGGACACGCCAAGCGCGATCTGATGCCGTGGTGCGAGCTGCGCTGCTGGAGGAGGACACCAGGAAGACAGACAGGAGAGCACGGGGAGTCACACAGCAGACGAGTGGACTCTTGTCCCCACCACCACGAGCCCACTCCCAGTTGCTGTAAAGATCTGCTTCAAAACTGCGTATAAGCTGAGATTCAGACGCTTGCCTCCGTTAGCACTCACTACGTAGAGAACGTCAAACCAGGGGTGCTGAGGGGCATGACCCATCGACAAGGCGGGCACACAGTCAAACCTGCGGCTTCCGAGGCCATCTGCCAGGTCTCCTCGGACGCCAGCGTCCCACGGCGCTGCAGGGGACCTGCCTCAGCTCCACCGCCCTCCGCGACGCTTCTGCCCCGTAACCTCCTCAGCACGCTTCCTTCTCACAAGGAATAGCTGTTTGGCTGAGATATGGTATTACTTGTTTCCTTCGGTGAGGTATTTAAAAAGAAGAGAAAGTGTTCTAAAGAAATCCACACTGCTTCAGGCTGTTTTCCCCTTTACTCAATTTTACTATCCTCTGCTCCTCCCACTTTTAGATTCTTCGCATTTCCTTTCGTCCACACCAGAGCAGATGCTCTACAGTTCAGCAGTATCGGACTTTCAGACTGAGTACACCTTTTCTAAGCATATAATTCATGTTTTTTAAAACTTTCCTTTGATCTTCTTTTGTTATTATATAGACAAATTTGAGCAGAATAATTTTCAGATACTTTGTTTCTCAAAAAATGTGGTATTTATTTGACTAGATGTAATTGAGAGAAAAGCACTACAGCTATGGCAGACGTAATTCTCTGGGTGCTGAAACGAAGTACCCCAACTATCAAAAAATTCACACAAAAATATTCTCAATATTAAATATACGTTCACTGGCTCTTCCTTAGTGAGCTGACAGCAGGTAGCTTGACTGCTACTCATCGCTAGAATCGAGTATCTCGTGGCTAGAGAGAAATTTGGTACTAAATTAAAAAAGGAATTGCAAAAAAAAAAAAGAAAAATGTTTAGCCATTTCTGCTTCATTGAATAAACAACATATATTTGTAATTTTACAAAGCATTATAAGGTTAGAACTGTGTAATTTCTCTGTGAAAATATGGCTTTTTACGCTTCAGAATTATTATTAAACGCTTTTGTAGACAGTGAATGTTTTGGCTAGAAATTATACATGACAGATAAATTTATGTATCTGTGATCCAAAAATCATTTGGACTTTTAACAAACAACAAGCACCAACAGCAAAACTATTTGTGATCAGAGGAGGCAATGTCACCCAGCCAGACACATTTACAGATGCTGCCACTGAAGGAAAGCTGAGTGAAGGAGATCATGCACGGAACAAGCCTTCAGAGCTCCCCGGCCACACGTCGCGGCAGACTGAACCAGCAGCAGACAGCGGGGCCAAACCAACCACCTGAAGAAGTGCTGAGCGGGAAGAACACCAAGGCCTGTCGGCTGAGCAGGACACCGGCGACGAGGGACGCGTGGGCTGCCACGAAGGAGCTGCGGGCGGACGGCCACCCTGGGCAGGGCGGGCTCCGGGGCCACGGCAGCGTGCCGCAGCACCGTACGGCACGACAGAGCTCGGGGGTTTGTCTGAACATATGCCAGCACGGGGCAAAAAGGCAGGTCCGCTATTCGAAAGGTAAAAGTGACAGAAAAAACCACAGATGAAGTCCGGGAGAGGTTAAATGCTGTTCTTTCTCATCTAACATCGTCTCTCAGCGCAGTCAGTGAAGTTTGCAGAGAGATCAGGGGTACAGACTTCCTGCAGTAACAAGACCGTTAGCTGCTCTTGTTCCACCACACTGCGCAAATATCTGTACAAAAACGACCGTGCTGAGAGCCCATGCTTGCTCCGCTCCATTTTCCACCTTTCTGCTTTCTCTCCCCTAACCTTGTGCTTCTCCAACTCCCTTCCCGCATTTCTCAGCCTTAGTTTTCAGTTTTCATATTAACTTCTACATAGCCTTTCACCCACCAAAGTAATCAGTTAACAAAGGCACATAATGAGTCACCACTGAGCTTGGACAAAATAAAACAAAATAAAACAAAATTAAAACAAAATAGCTTGGACTGAAGGTGCTACCACCTTCCCTCCACTGTGGCAAGCTATCTACAAACTTACCGAATTTCACAGTACACACCCTTGTGTTGTAGTTGAATAGTTAACAGAGGGCTACCTATCTGGGGTCTGTTTGCTTTATTTAAAGCAAAACAAAATATTCGAGGATCTAAGTACACTGAGGAGCCTGACTGTTCAGTAAGTCTGAATACACAGACAGCTGGGTCATGCAGGCCTAATCCTGCACATCTCACACACAGGGACTCTCACCACAGGCACCATTATGAACCGGAGACTACCTGTCCAAGTAAGAATTTACATATAATATACTTTAATTTCTAGGATTAAGGTTTATATTACGTTGGCCACCAGCGAGATCAAGAACTTACCTTAAAAACCCAAAAGCTGAGCAAAGTTCCATGATTTCAGACATCTTTTTTTTTTAGCGCTTTGGCCAGTCTGTAAATCAGATCCACCAAGAATTGTCCTTCCTCAGATTTAAAGCACTTCTGGAAGCCACCTAAATGGAAGCAATCTCATACTCTTATCACCTGGCATCGCAATACCCCTATGCTTGCATCTCATTTTAAAAGTTACATTCAATGTTTGTTATTTGCTGGTCAAAGAAAGGATAAGGAAAAGCAATTCTTCTGAACTGCTTACCTGATTAGTGCTTAAAAAGACAAAGGTTTTGCCGAGCTATCTACACGGGTAAAACCAAACCAGGCAAGCCTCCTCTGTGGAGATGAAACTCTCACCTGCGTGTGGAGTTAAAGCACCTTTCTAAACGACGCAAGATACACCAGAAAAGCATCATTTTTCCAGAACTTTCTGGACGGTTTAAAGTGCCGTTGTAGGAGGCTCTCTGAGCACAGCCACAGCGCTGGGCAGGACCCTTTTCAGGTGCAGGCGTAGCCACGCAATCAAACTTTGCACTGTGGTCTTCATCTAACGATCGTTGCATTTCGCTTCACCATACTTTTTAAACTTGGCTTCAAGCTTTCAGCTCATTAATACAAATACAAAAGCAGTCAAGTTTCTCACAAGGCTATAAATAGTACACTCCGGCTAAGCACCGTTGGTACTTTAAAATCCTTTCAAAGGATTATTTTTCTTAGATGTGATCCAACACAAATTTGGGAAAAAGTTCTGAACCAAAGCAAAAAGACTAATAATTGTTACAAGCTGCGCAAAAAAAACAAACTGTGGCTGCAGCATGCAAAGACTTACCAGAAAGAAGAGCTACCGGGCAGAACGTAGAAGGAGACTAAAATACAAGAAATCATGATTTAGCAACTATTTGTCATACATGTATAGCTCCTGTTCAGACAGCACCATTTCAATACATCAGGCCCAGTACTGATGTTAAAATGACTCACTACATCTACCAATTTTAACAACAGTATTTTTGTTCATATACAAATCCTTCATTTACCAAATGTTTCAGATTCCAGCTAAAACACGTAACAAAAAAACAAAACTGGAGCTCCTCTCTCTTACAGTCTTTAACACACAGAGCACATCCTCATTTTCTTAAGTCCAACAGTCTCAAAGGTGCTGTTGCGGTAGCGTCTGTACAAATAGCATTACAATGATTGTATAACACAGAACACGACCAAATGAGCCACCTAATAGCGAAAAGAGAATTAAAGGACTACGGTTTTTAGAAAAGGCACTGGCGACTGCTGAATCCGCGAATTATACAAGCTACTTGCCAGTTTCATAACATTAAATAATGGTAACCCAATTCAGACTTCACTTTCTAAATATATCACTGGAGTTACTTCACAAACACCACGACTCAACGCTGAGCTACCAAGCAGGTGGCAAATCCTCTACTGTCATCCATCCATTTATGTTCAGAAGATCCCAGACTTCTGTGCAGTTATTTCCAATTTAAATCATTAAAAGCAGACAACTGTATTCCCTACAACTGTATTGCTAACATACTCCACTCATCAAAATAGCACCTGCGCGACTCATCACCCGGTTTTCACAGCTACTAAAAAAGGCGATATTCCCTGCAAAGCGCTTGCAGCATTACCGGACCCGCCCCGTATTCTTTGACGCCCGGGTGAAATGTTTGGGTCACCCAAGAGGCGAAGCACGGAACCCACCACACACCGAAGCGGGAGGGCTCTGGAATCCTGGGGATGCCCGCAGCGTTTTGCCCCGAGTCGGCCAGCCCCCAGCTGGCAGTGACCACGGGGTCTCCACCTCCCACGAATAGCACTGGGCATCCGGCTGCGAGGGCTCGGGAACGCGTGCCGGGTCCTTGGGTGGGAGGGATGGACCAAGGCGTGGCAGGGTGCACGCACGAAGCTGAGGGATATCCAGGCACGGGGCAGCAGAGCCCTTGGCTAAAGCCCTGGAAACCCACGGGTTCTTGCGCGAGGTACCTCCACGCTTGCACCAAGCAGCCTGCCATCCACACGAAGCCCCCCGCTCGTTAATCAAAGGATAACGACGCCAGCAAACAGGCAGCTCTGAGATTCCCAAGGCCTGCCCTCTGTGTCCAGGGTGATGTCTGCCTCTACACTTAACAAATCCACTTAAGGTGAAAAACGTTCTGGCGCTGTCCGAACTCAGAGGAGGAAAGGCACTGTGAAAATACTTGTGGAATTATGCTAAAAGATGCAGATAAGCTCTTTATGAGGTGTCTAACAAACTAAGCGATCCCTGTATCTGAAGAGCACTCAATCCATGACACCTGAACTGGGCTTTAAGAGGACCAAGCATGCCCTGACGCACGCTGTAGGGATATTCACCATCAACACCCGGTGAACGTTATTCCTGGGGGACATCACCCCGGGAACAGACTCAATTACCGTATACGACGCCTCCGCGTATCCAGGTCCGAGATCCAACATCTGGAACCAAAGCTTCGAAGTCAGTCACGGGGAGAGCCACCCCGCGCACCCCCGGGGTCCGGCAGACCGCAGC